CACATGCTTTGTAAATTGCTCCAATGCAAAGACACAAGTGAAATCAAACAAAAGTGAAAATTATAATGTAAACACATTTATAACAAAATGCAAACTCCTGAATAACATAGTAGTTAATTCAATTCAACAATAAAAAAAGTTAGGACTCTTCTATAGAATCTTTGATCAAAATGTTCAGTAATGGTAGCTAGGCACCATCCAGTTCTTCTGGTCTCATGGCAAAGGAGGCAGAGGAACAACTCAAAAAAAGGAGGGTGAGAAAGTTGTACAACTCAAAGAATGCAATCAATGTCACTGAATTGTACGTGTAGAAATGGTTGAATTTATATATGTTTTGCTGTGTATATTCTCAATAATAAAAAAGTAGGGTTTATTCCACAATCTTTTATCTTACTACATTGAGTTTTTTTAATGTATAACATCAATTTACTAACTCAAAGTGGAGGATCAGTGCAATCATCTCAGTAAATGCCAAATGACATGTAATGAAACTCTACATCTATGATAAAGTTTAGCCAACTAGACATTGATAGATTTGTTAGAATGTTGGTGACAGTTAATTCTAGACAATAGCCAACATAAATGTAATGAGAAAAACACTAGAAGCCACTATATTAGAAAATTATTTGTCATTATTGTAAGTATTTAAAGTTGTCCTTGTACTTCTGGGCATTTAAATAATGTAAGAAACAGAAATACAAAGAAAGACAACTGGAAGATTGAAAATAAAAGTTTCATTTTTTTTTTCTTCAGTAAATGGGATTGATATATGAGTAGATATCTCAATAAAAGTGATTGAAAGCACTATCAGAATTAAGAGATAAAAATGTAATACTATATATAAGGCAAACAAAAATCAGTAGTTGTTCTATGTACCAGATAGGAACATAAATGGAAATAAATAAAAATTTAAAAAGATCAGATGTATGTGAAGGTAAATTATATAAATAGTAGGTAGTAGAAAGTAAGCATTCCAATAACAACAGCTAGTATTTCACAATTACAATATCTTATTGCATTATTTGACTGCTATCTGTCTCTCCTTCTTAAAGGCAGGGACTGAGTATGTGTATGAGTGTGTGCATACATGTACACATCAATATATCATAATCTTATAGCATAATATGTTAGTAAAACTGTAACCCATTGCCACTGAGTCGATTCTGACTCATAGTGACCCTATCGTACAGAGTAAAACTGCTCCATATGGTTTTCAAGAAGTGGCTGGTGGATTCGAACTGTTGACCTTTTGGTTAGCAACCAAAGCTCTTAATCACTTCTTTCCTGAATGAATTAATCAAAAATACTTAATTTTTGATAGTTAAAATTTTCTTTTTTATGAATAATTTTTATGTTCTTTTATTATTAGGAATTCATATCTCTAAAAATACAGAAAAAATTGGGTATGTAGGGTACGTCGTGTCAGACACCATACAGATTTTTGAAGATGTAAGAGTTTCCAAAAAGTTCCTCACTGGTGAAGAAGGAATGGGTTTCAAATAGTTCCAAGACAAATATATAACAGCTCTAGGTAAGTACTAGAACAAAAATATAGCAGTAATGAGTAAATTCTTGTGGTCATATGGCTATATGAAAAAATATCCCATTTTGAGTTTACCTAGCATAGGTCAGTACCAACAGAAATTGTTTAATTAGAGCTTAGTTAATTTCCTGAAAACACACATCTGCTTTACCAGGAACAAAAGCAACACTACATGTTGAATCAAGCAACACTCACACAATTAAAAGGCAAACTACTTAACATATAATATTTTTATACTCCTGACTGCCTGCCCTTAGAATTCTACTTCCTCCTAAAAAAAATGACTTCAATTTAGGTCAAAGACTATGTACGTGCAAAAGTGGTTGAAGGCTAACTTACTCCTTTCCCTCCCTTCCTCCCTTCCTCTTTTCCCTTTCTTCCTTCCTTCCTTCTTTCCTTCCTTCCTTCTTTCCCTCCTTCCCTCCCTCCCTCCCTTCCTCCTTTTCCTTCCTTCTTTCCTCCTTTTCCTTCCTTCCATCTTTCCTTCTTTCCTTCTTCCTTCCATCCTTCCTTCTTTCCCTCTTCCTTCCCTCCCTCTCTCTTTTCTTCCTTCCTTCTTCTCTTTATATTTTCTCAGACACACATATTTAAATCATATCAAACGTTATTACACGAGAATTTCCTGGTGCTTTATTCTACAATATATGAAGGTACAAGGAACTTGAGCAATTATGTTAAAATCATAGCAGCCTTGTATATTTGAAAATTAGAGTGCTGTTGTTTCATGAAATAGTTTTGCAGTTTGTAATTAAAAAAATAAATTAAAATTTTAAAAGTTTGGAAAGAGAACTCTGAGCAATTACCCTGAAGGCAGTTTGCTAGCCAGTCCCAAAAGCTAGATTCAGATACACTAAGTATAAAATAGGAGGCCTTGTGGCACAACAGTTAAGTGCTTGTCTGCTAATTTTAAAGGTTGGTGGTTCAAACCCAGCCAGTGGCAACTCAATCCACCACCGTGAAGATTACAGCCTGGAAACCCTATGGGGCAGTTCTAGTCTGTCACATGGGGTTACTAGCCATCAGAATTGACTTGAAGGCACCTAACAAGTATAAAATAGGAGATGAAGTAACCTCAGCAACAAAACTGCAATTTGCTTTAACTTCCCTGTGAAGAACTTCACAACAGGGGCCTGGTATTGCCACTCACCCTGTGTGGCTCTGGCTGTGAGTGCCATTTTTTGTGCTTTTCTACTTTTCTGCTAGAGTGATAAATATACTGTGTCCTCAGCTTCCACTGTGGCAAATTTGTTTTTACTGTTTTTGTGGCAATTTGGAAGAATCAGTGTGTGATCAATAAAATGAATGTTTACTGTATCCCCATTGATCTCACTTAAAAAGCTGTGTGAATTCTAGAAACTACTTTAGAATAGTTTAAAAAGTAAAAATACACCATTAAGTCATAAAAATTAAATGCAGACAAACAGAGTTTAAAGGAGCTGACTAGCATACACCATCTAGAAATTTGTCTTTAAGCAGTATGTAGTAGATAATCCATTAATTATTAAATTTTAATCTAGTAGTCTTAATCTCTTTAATAAAAGTCATCATAACATCTTTGTTCTCTTTGGAATTTTTTTTTTTGGGGGGGAGAACAAAGCAAACTCAACTTGCTTTTTAAAAGTAATTGAATAATTTTAAAATACATTAATGTAAAATAAAAATTTTAAAAGACATTTTAAAGAAACTAAGCATTCAGCCTGTCTAAAAAATGACTAAAGCATTTTATTCCAGTAACTTTTCTGAAACACAGGTTATCTCACAGAACACTTATGCTCCAGTTTCCTTGAAAGAGAGCTTATTTTATAGTCTTTAGAATTAATGATTAAAAAATGCAGAAAACTTAGTAAATTACCAGCTTCTATTTATTTATTAATGAGATAAAGTTGAGGAGAAAGGAGTAACTATAAGTATTTTCTTAAAATATAAATTGATGACCTAAGTTTTTCATTATACAGTATGTTTTATCTGGACTTTGTGTTGTTATGCTGTTTTGTTTTTCTGTTCACTTCCAAATTCATTGTAGCAATCTGAGAAGTCATAAATACTAATAAAATCAGATTTAGCTGTCTGCTATCATATGAGTTACACTATGATTGTAGTTTTTTGAAAAAGCACATTAGGAACAATTTTCTATTGTACAAAACTGATTCTTGTTGAAGTTATCAAAGTTGTATCATTAAACACTTCCTTTTGAAGTGTCAGACTTTGTAGAATAGTTACATCACAGTGGACAATGTGGTAGTATTTTGCATTATCCTTTAGCTATTAAAGTTATAAATGATTAATTAAGCTATATGAATTCTAGAGTCTCCATAGAATATGGATGCTTTTTCATATTAAAGATATTTTGTATTTCTATCTTGCTGTTCATTGTTTTAATAAGGAAAGATTGTTCTAAGGATCTGGGCTTGGCAGTTTGCAAATCTCTCAAATTTGTATGATAGTCCATTGTCGTCACTGAGTTGATTCCAACTCATAGTGACCCTACAAGACAGAGTAGAACTGCCCCATAGGGTTTCCAAGGAGCAGCTCGTGGATTTGAACTGCTGACCTTTTGGTTAGCAACCATAGTTTTTAACCACTTCGCCAGCAAGGCTCCTTCAAAGGCTTGTGAAAAATTCTTCTAAAAAAAACACACAGGCTTTGCCCAGTCAGTTGAACTTCTGGGCTAAGATAATCTACAGAAGCCAGTATATGTGCAGACACCAGATGTATCAAAATGTACAGAATGATCTCTGCACTCTTGCTTGAACATTTAGTTGGATGGAAAAGCACGGAGAAAACCAGAATAATAATATGCACCTACTTTCTTTGTATATGATTCATATACAGTATTTGAACTACCAGAAGATGGAAGGTCAATAAATATAGCAAGAATTTACCCATTGAGAAAAAAGTTGACATTTGCAAAATGTAAAAATGATCTTGTCACTGAAAAAATTATTCTCAAGCTAATTTATCAATTTAACTTCATGTTGCCTGCATTATTTTCTATTAAGATTTAAGAGATTCTCATTGGAGAAACGAATAACTTCTGTATCTTTTAAAACAATAGTTATCAATATAACCAGTGGTGTACTAGAGCTAGCTCATACCCGCTTTTAAGAGTCAATTCTGCATATATTTTCCCAACTCTGTGTTCAATGATGTCATATGGGTAGCTTGATATCCACAATGGTGGGAGTATTTAAACCACGTTAATCAGAAAACACTACAAATCTGAGTTTTTTCCCCCTAGAGTCAGTTCACCACCATACCATTGAATATAAACATATAATAAGAAATTTGCTTAAAGTCAAAATCCAGCATTCTTATTATGGAAAGATTTTGGAGGGTTTTTTTTTCCTTCAGAGATTATAAAAGATAATTATTACATTTATTACAATGTTTTAAAAAGTATGCTGAATTTTATCAGAAAGAATAAGAGACAAATAAAAGAAGCAACAAAGTCTATTAATATATTTCATTAAAAATTTTATTTTTGGAGCTTATAAACGGGTAACTTCCAAAATAGTAGCAATACAGAGTATCTAGCAACATTTTAATATTTCTTTTTACTCCACAATTTGCTTTCCATAAACGAATATAGTGGCTTAAAGCAACAATGCTCTTAACTCCAAGATCAGTGTCTGGGTATTTTCACTACATATTTTGAGCACATAATAAAGCAGAGACAATTAATTATTTTGAATACTTTATTTCCATTCAGAGTTTAGCAATTACTTCGCTTCACATTATTTTGTCACAAATAATAACCAAATATCCCACCTAATAGCCAAAGTCATAAAACTATTATAAATTAAGTCACTGGAATTTATAAAGTTAATATAAAACAGTAACTATACTGGCACACATTTGTATTGAGCCTTACTAGAAATATGCCACAATAACAAGCTTTATTAAAGAATGAGGTCCCTGGGCAATAAGGGAAGAAGGGATACATCACCAAAAATTATTATGAGGATTGTAGGTAAGAAGACATCTACCTACAATTTTAACTAAATAAAGGAGGAAAGGGCATACATCATCACAGCTGGTGGCACTTCAGGAAAATATATTGACCATGCTATCACCAATCTGTTCACCATCGTCAGAGCTCAGCATCAGGCTCTCCAGACATTCTGTTACTGGCCCACTCAATTTCTTTACGTGGAACTCAAGCCTACATTTATGGTAACAACAGAATATTACACTGCTATTTAATGTGACGGTTAGACAAACAACAGAGAAAAACTACTAGGGTCCAACTAACTGCAAGCCATCTCAATACCCCTGAAAATAGGGGCAAAAATGAGTCATTAAGAAACGGTTTTCGAAGAGCAATACATTATCTAATGTGATTTATAAAACAAGTGAAGGAACCCTGAATTAAGTAATCGTCAAAGGAAAAAGTTATAATATTTGAAAATTCGAAATGTCTTGATGCTGATTTTTATCAAAGCAGTACTCTATTAAGCCATTAAGTTGGAACAAATTCCAAACTCACATTTACTTATATCACCTGAGTTTAATAATCCAATAAATGACAAAAAAGACAAAGAATGAAAACAGCATCATATAGCACAGCAGCTTAGTTTGGCTCCCTCTGGATAAAATCTTCAGTTTCCCCATAGTTTTACCTAGAAATCCAGTTGTAGAATCAAACTGTGAATCCTATGAGGGGAAAATAAAATATAACGGTTAGATTCTAATATTCTACCCATATATGCTCAAATAATCTCAGGATGTTCAAATAATTGAATACAAAAGTACTTTTAATGACAATTTTTGTGTTTAATCAGTTCAGGAGCTTATCTATAACTGAGTAATCAAATTGGCCTGATTATTCCATTCAAAACACAATAATTCTCAATGAATAAAAAGCTCTTTCATTATCTAATAAACATTTTCTTCAGCTGCACAGAGTAATTAAAAAACCCAAACCATGTAGGTCTTATTCCAATCATGTGGCTTGAAAAACATTAATAATAAAGGTAAGTAGTTTTTCCACTATCGGACAGGTTTTTCCCCACTTTTTATTCTGGCTTGGCTCTACAACGTCAAACAGTCGGTTGCTTTCTAGCAGAGTAATATTTCATCCAAAATTTAATATGTTTAGCAGTTTAATGTACCTTTACTTTTAAAATCCTTCTGTTTAAATAGCTGACTTTTAAGTACTATTAAAAGCAAAAAACCAAACCAACCGCTGTCAAGTCAATTCCAACTCATAGCTACCCTACAGGACAGAGTAGAACTGCCCCACAGGGTTTCCAAGGAGCGGCTGGTGGATTCGAACTAATGACCTTTTGGTTCGCAGCCAAGTTCTTAACCACTGAGCCACCAGGGCTCCTTAAGTACTGTAGTACCTGTTAAAAGCTACAGAACTTCATGTAGAGGTGGTGGGAGATGTGGTAAGGACCATAAATATGAATGGGGAAAAAATCTGTCAGATTAAAACATAGCTGGAAAAGTCTTTAAAATGACAGGCTAGGTATGGATAAAAGAGATCCTGAGTAAATGCCCCAGCATAATAATAGTCTTGTTTAGCTCAGGCTCTATGTAGCTCACGTGCTTTAGATTGATGGCTCTTCACCAGAGCTATGTATCGAAATCACCCAGGATGCCTTTTTTCCCAAAATACATATGCCTATTTCCCTTTCTCTGAAATTCTGAGTTAGCATATCTAGAGTGGTCCAGGCATAAATAGTTTCAAAAAGTTCCCCAGGTAATTCTAATATATAATGTTTTTTTTTTTTTTGGGGGGGGGGAGCCGGGGCAGGGAACACTACGTTTTTGAACAGTACAACTTTAAAAGCATATGGAAAAACTAGAGATGGTCCAAAGAAGTTGGACATCAAAATCAACATAAAAGAATGGAATGTGGCTCTAACAGGGAAAGGTGAAGGGTCACGGGTGTGATTATGTTCAAATCTATGAGGGATTTGTTCAGAAGTGATTTTTAGGAGATCAAGCAAAAAAAAAAAAAAGAGTTTACATGAACTGAAATACATTTGGTTGGTTGGATACAACGTGCTTCGGATTTACTTGATTAATAACTTAATAAATTACTACAAGTCTTTTATCTATTGAGCTCTCTAAGAACATGCAAAATAATCATTTGACCTGAGTCCTCAATAGTGTTTCTAAACACAAGATTAGAGATATATTAGCTTCCTCCTCATCCTCCCACCTATATGTTTTGGGAAAGGTGAAAAATGCAAAAATATGGCAAAAAATAAACCTTATAGCTATTCCACACTGATTAGATACAAATGGGTGACAATCCAGGACATATAATCTCCAGGTAACCTTTCCACATCACTTCTCGCTAATTCTAATTAGGGTGGCCAGAAATACTTCAGCCCAGTAAGACAGAGTTCAAAATTCTCAATTTAGTGGTTTATTTTCAGAAACATTCCAGAATATTTCTACCAGAAGACAGTTTTATGTGACATCAACAAAGCTTTTAATGACCAGCTATGTACTTCAGATCTATTTCAAAATGGATACAAGTTAAAATGATACTATTCCTGATTGTTTAACAGACTTAATCTGAGAATATTACCTCAAATTTCTTAAAATTAAAATCAAAATACACTTACCATTTCGGCTAATAATTTATTTTGATTTTTAACTTCATGGCCTATTTCTATGGAAAGCTATAAAGAGAAAAGCATATACCTTATTACTCATATAAAGGCATTTAAATGTTAAAAAGTAAAAATAATAATGCCATTCTAAGCATATACATCTTCGTAAATGAAACTGCTTTCTAGAAATATAAAATATACTCTCTTTTCTGATACATTTTCCACTGAATTTAAAGGCAAGTAAATTTAGAATATCTATTCCTTCCTAGCTGTGGACATTTCCTCTCTGCTCTTTATTCTGATTTTATCTTAACATTTAATTCAGTCTTTCAATTTTGGCATACATATATATACTTTCCTCTGGTTCTCTTATCCTGGGTTCTCATATCCTTGCACACTCTCTTTAATTATTTTATTCATGCAAAAGCATTTATCTGTATTTTTCCTTTTACATTTTAAAAGGTATACATGCATCCATATGAGCAATTCAAATCCAGAGAAAGTATTTACTATTTTCCTAATAAAACATGCCATTACTTTGAATATATGCCTAAATTGATGGTTTCTTTAGATTTCAAAGGTAGTAATTTTTTATTTAAAATATGATAATAAAGTTTTAAAAAATTTACAAGTTAGTGTTATCCACATGCTGAAGCTATGCAGAAAGGTGGCTGAGCCTACAAAAAAACAATACTATAGGTAATTACAGCTGCTATTCAAAACAAAACTGATCTAGTACTTCACATGACAGATTTGTCAAAGGCTTCACTTCTGAGATACTTGAATAAATACAATCAACTACTGAAAATTTTGGCAAATCACTGCAAATGTTCTCGAAGGCTATTTTTAAACTTAATTTGTGTGGAAAGTGTATGGGATAATACTGACACAAAACCACAGAATTCTACAGACCAGAACATGAGCTTTTCCAGAAACTTAACAATTCAAAGATAATAAAGTAGCTATAAAGCTAGATAGCACATATCATCCAAGGACTTTCTACACTGTCATTCATGACAAATAAAGAAATTTTGAAGAGATCACAGCTTTCTTCTGATAAGAAGCCTAAACTGTCAATGTCTGAATTAAAAAAAAAAAAAAAGAATGAAGCATTTAAACCTTAAGCATCTCCAAATGTTGTTTTCTAAATTATCAACATTATCCAATATTGCTTAGTTCATGGATCATCTCCTTATGATTTAATACAACTGTGGAAACAATACTGTTTCAGAATGTAATAGTCTCCTGGCTGAATACAACTCAATTTTCCAAAGACTGTAGTGAAACACCAACTAAGTTTTGGCAGTATGAGCTTCTAGTGAATGCCCTATTAAGGCTTTGGCACGTTTAACATAATGTAGAAGCAATCAAATAAACTGTTAGAACAATCTTTTTGTAATTATTTTATTTAATACATATTTACTAAATCAGTATCACTGATAAGAAATTCATGCTAGTGTAGAATATAAAAATGAGTAAAACAGAAAACTCTACAATCTGGTAAATTTCTTTTACATATAAATTAATTCCTATACAATAAGTGCCATAGCAATGATACAAATGGTCTCATGTTCATAAGGGAAAAAGTTACTCTTAGACATGGTGAGCAGGTAAAGCTTAGAGGAGGGAGGAGCTGAACGAAGTGGGGCCTTTTAGAATGGGCAAGGTTTTACCCAATGTAAGCAAGGAGAGGATGCTTAAGGCAAAGGGCTAGCGTGGTCAAAGATATGGGTGGGAAAGCGACAAAGGTGCACAGGACACAGAGAGTACTCCAATTTATCTGGCAGAAAGACATACACAATGTGGAAGCACAGGAGACAAAGTCTGAACACCTGGGGCCAACCTTTGAAGAAACTGTTGGGTCAAGCTCCAGAGTGTGAACTTTATTTATTAGATCATGGGAGAACACTGAAGATTTCTGGGAGTAAAGTGATACAATTTAAATGATACTCTAAAAATATTACTGTTGTAACTGTATGTAGCTCATTTCCAAACATGCAAACAACTAGGAACAGATAGATTATGAGGCTCTCGCAATAGCCCACCTAAGAAAATCAGGGGATAACAGTAGAAACAGAAAAACAGAATAGAGATAAACACTGCAAAGAATGAATCACAAGACGGTGAGTTGAGGTACAAAGGTAGAAACACGAAAGACCCAGGTTTGTAGTTTAGGAGACTGAAAGAAGAAATGTCAGAAGTGCTGCTTGGGGGTGGGAATTGGACAGCTCTGTTTTAGACCTTACTGCAGTCAACATGAACAGTATTTAAGATTTAACCATAAAATATAGCTGGTGTTAAAAAAAAAAAAAAATTCAAACAAACATACCATATCTTTTGGCCACATTTTCTAACCTTCAACTCAAATCATGTTCTAAAGTTTGAGTGCATTTTGACCTTACTGTACCACAGTATTTGGATAACTGAATTACTCAGTATGATGCCAATATAATTATATACTTTATAGGAAAATAATATATATGTGCACATATATATATGTAATCTGTTGTTGTTGTATACTTACAGATTTTATAGCAGTTACTTTGCTTCTCAGACTTTCAGTGAGTCTCTCATTTTCTTCTTCACAGGCACTGTATCCACTATTAGCATAGCCATAGTTCCCATAATTTCCAGGAGGTACTCCTTCACCTGCAAGGATCAGATTTAGAAGCGTAGTTTTAGCAAAAACAGAAGTCACTTTTGAAACCTTGATAGTTAGAAAAGAACTAAAAAAGACCCCTGGAGGGCGTTGCAGACCACATATGCTTATAATATTCATACTTCATGTTAAAAATCAATAGCCAGACAGAGATCAGAACAATTTTTCCATTACCAGTTCATTTTAATATACATTTATTAATTGCCTATTGATCACCCACAAAACATTAAAATAGGCACTAATTTACAAGGAAAGCCAGAAAATATTCCCTGCTCAATGGAAGCATATATTCTAATACAAAACCTCAAAGTGCTAACATCAACTACCCACTGAAGAAGCTTGACTGTGAAAGGAAGGGGAGAAAGAGGATAATCCAGTGCGAAGGGACTCAGAGCTAAAGGAGGGTCCATTACCTGTACCTCTTTCTCTTAAATACAGGGAGAACTGAGTGGGGAAGAGTCAAAGGGAGGGGGAGAAAAAAAAAAAAACAAGCAAGAAGCTGAAGCTCTAAAAGAGGGATGAAATAACTTGTGGACTGTTAGCTGAGAAGAGGGGGATTCATTCATTCTTCAACAAATATGTGAGTGCCTCCTACGTGTCAGATCCATTGTTCTACATGCTTTTATGGAGCTTATCTTCTAAGGGATGACATTTAGAATACAGTAACCACCACCCTGCTAATATAGTACTTCATATTCCTCAGGCAATCAAACAACAGGTGGAGTGAGCATTAAACAGTGAATACATCAATAAACTGGTTGGGGGATTGAGGGAAGAAAGCATAGTTGAGGGTGTTATTTAACCAAACAATGTTTGAGTCTTTTAATAATTTGATACCACCAGTCTTCTTATTAAAGGAAGAGAAAGGATAATCTGCTAAAGTGGTGATCCTTTGGAATAAACAAGGAGAATGATGGAGGAAGGTGAACAGGGTTACACAGGATTACCAGGAAAATAAGACAAACCTAGCTGATGGAATAAACTGTAACGGTTTCAATCCTCCCGGATGTGTAACATTTCTACAGAAGAGTTCATCAGCCTAGGTTAGCAGATGAGAAGCTGGATGGTTGGACTGATCTAGAGTTGGAAGTGTACAGTGTAGGGAGCTGCAGAAGAACAAAGCCTCCCTAATCTTTTCGAGATTTCTTGCAAAAAGAATGGTTGAAGATGTGGATTGTGGGGACAAGGTTAGACAGGGATTGAAGTAGATTTGATAGTGGTCTGAGCATGTGGGAGAAAGGATGATATAGAAACAATATGCCTCAGTAAACTCAAGCATCAGGTAAAGTGACAGCAAGGGCTCCAAGGACAGGAGGCCTTGGTAGTTGAAGGATGGGTGAGGTGTGAATAGGAAGCTCTTTCAAGGCACGCAAGACAAATTCACTTTCTCTAAGAAGCAAAAGTAACTAAATATTTTTCCCACTCAATAATTAAAACTCATTTTAAAAAATGCATTCTCACTCCATCAATCAATGACATTCTGTACAAACTCTACATTAATAGGAATCAAGATCCTTAAAGAAATGGACAGTGTCTTCTACTTGTTTTACGTGACTAAGATTTTGAATATATAGCATTTGCCCAATAAGTAATTACAGACTAGTTGTATGTAATCATTTGGTAAATTCACCAAGGAATCTGTTTATAAAATAATGGCAATTTGCTTTATTTCCTTTGTTTTGCTCTTTTTACTAAATTCTAATTTTAGAGCTCTACCATACTGTTCCATTTATTTAAAACAGACATTCTCCTTTTATTTAGTGCCCAGAAATCTTTCAATGCACATGCCTCCTATTAAAGAGTTGATCTTTCCTCATACCATCATCCACCCCTAGAACAAAAACAAAAACAAAAACAAATAAAACTCTAAAAGTTGCTTTTCCAAACTTAACCACTTCTTTTGTATGAATTACTGCTTTGAAAAATTGTACAAAAGCCAAAAAGTGCCAAAGATAATCCTCAGCCTTTGTCAGTTTAGATAAATGCTACCCCTTTTAGAAAGTTTCTATCAATAACTGAGCCAAAATCATTTAGATATTCATGTGAGATATGGCAGCTTCTGCACACGAATATCTACAGAATGATTATTTATCCCAAGTTTAAAATTCCAGGTTGAGATGCAGTAATACTTTAAAAAGCAAGGTAGTGTATATTAAAAAAAAAAAGAAAGAAAGAAAAAACAAAACCCTCACCACTTCATACTAAATTCTATCGACAGTCACTTAAGTAACCTTTTATCTCTACTCCAGTGGTTCTCAATCCTGGCTGATGATCAAAACCACCAAAGAAGCTTTAAAACAAAATATTGCTAGAGATTCTGATTTATTTTGGTTTGGGTTGGGGTCCAGGTAACAATACTTTTAAAAGCTCCCTAGGTGATTCTAATGTACAGTCAGGGTTGAGTACCACTTCTGTAGTCCTTTTCCTGCAATGTAACATGGCACACTACTGCACAAAAACCTTCAAAGGAGGCCTGAAAACCTATTGATGAAGTCCAAACTCCTTGGTCTGGCACTCAAAGACCTACACGATGCAGTTCCATGTCCCCTCCTTCAACCAAACTGGCTTAATTATAATTCCTTAAACACATCATTCACATTCTAATGGACTCAAAGATACAAATGATGGTAAAGATAAGTTATAGTACAAGATGGCAGCAACATATATGGTCAAATACTATATTAAGTTCTACAGACTGAGAATGTCTCAGGGATTTCAGAGATAACTGTGTACTTTGGGGAGACTTAGGAACTTGCATTAATCCATAAATAATGGAAAGGTAAGTTTCAGATGATAGCATGATCAAAAATATAGTGTAGGGCTGTTGATAATTGCTGTTGAGTTGGTGCAGACTCTATAGCCGCTATTAGTTGTAATCAACTCGACCACAACGGGTTTAGTTTGGTTTAACTTATTCCTGCTGCTTGGTGTACCTGCTTCCTAAGCCAAAAGGTCAAAAACAAATGTTAATTCACCAAGCCTTACCACACTGTATTGACTTTTGAGTGTAAAACAAGGTTTAGAGAAGAATTGCCCTGGGTAAGATCACCTTTGACCCCGATGTTACACACTAGGGCCTTTAACAGCAATGACACATACATTTCACCTTTGTAACTCATTGTTACCAGACTAACATGATCCTCAGTTGCTTGCTTCGCATGCAAACTTCACTTTTCAAACTTCTCTTCTGAAGAAAATAAGATTCAGAGGCAGCAGTAAAGGAGAAACCAGAGCTGGGCTTTGGGAAACTCAGCACTTTCCATTATCATGCTCAGACAGTCAGTAACACTAAAAAAAAATACTTAACAATCGAGTTGCTGCCTGTATATACCCCACCCCCTAGTCCTCAAGTACTCACTCTAAACTACCATCCAACCTGGGTCTGACCTAAACTTAAGGAAATCTCTATGATTTAGGACAAATGGCATGTTTCCACTTGGCACTGTGTCCAAAGGTACCCTCCATACATTCCGCTTTCTGGCCCACATGCCAGTGTCATAAGACCGGTCCGATTTCCTCCCGCGCCCCCGCGCCCAGCACGGCCGGTTCTAGGGCCTCCAGAACTTCGAACCTCATCCCTCTTCTTACCCAGGCCTGCACGCCTCATCCTGCCCGAGAATGGAGGGAAAAGGCGGGAAGAGGGTAGAAAGGAAGGGGCGAATGAATCACCCGGACGGCGTCTTCAGCACCAGGGTCCGGCAGAACATCAACTTCTTCTCCCAAAGCGCCACGACATCAGTGAAGTCCAAACAGCGCGCTGGCTGATGGCGTCACCCGGGCACTTATTGGTGCCCTGTGAGGCGCCGTGAACAGCATTCTGGGAAATGTAGTTCATCGGCGCCGTAAGAGGCGTAGCTTGGGCATGATGTGACCGTCCTGCTACAGAAGGCTGCGGGTCTTAGGGAAGAGGGGCGAGCGCAACAGGGACTCAGATCCCAGATTTCGACTCCTGTGCTCCCAGTCAGACCCCGAGTTTAACCTGTATGTCTGCTTCTGCCGGACCGCGAGAGGATAGTTGGCTCCTTTGCTGTTTCAGCCTCTTACTCCATCTCACTTCCAGAATCGGTTCAGGGAAAGTCAAAGAACTATGCTCAAGTTTCTCATATTACAAATAAGTCATCTGAGACCCACAGAAGGGAAGGAAGAGGGTAACCATTTTGGGCCGGGTCACCCACTAAAGTTAAAGAACATAGTCCCTTGGAGTAAGTCCTACTCGGATAGTAGCACATAAGTCTCTGCCTTAAAGCTGTTTTTGTGAAATACCTACCAAAACCATTTTTAATAAGTTATTAATCTGGTAAATAAGTTTAATTCAATAGTATTTTGATAGAAAAACAGTTTTCATAAAAAGAAAGTAAACTACCATTCTCTAAAAGCAATGGAATTAAATGAAGATTGTATCAGGGACAATTATTATTGCAAATAAACACCAAAGGTTCAATAAGAAAAATGATGGCAAAGCTCCTCTTTTTTACTTAGAATCTGTGACATTCTGTAATCAGAACATGTCAGAGTGAAACAACTACAACAGAAATAACAAGAATGTTGACACAATGTGAAAAATATAACCAATGTCACTGATCATTATGTCTAGAAACTGTTGAATGGAAATAGGTTTTTGCTGCATATATTTTCACCAAAAATTAAATTAAATTAAGAAAAAGTCAGAAAACTTATCTTGCTTAAGGAAGTTTACTCATATATGTAAAAAAATCATAGCTATTTAAAAAAAAAATCTTACGTTTACTAAAACAGACCATTTGAATTATATAAAACTTGCATATCTTTTTGTAAACTCCTTTCTAAAAATACATGGTGTGGATAGAAGAATAAAATATAGTAAAAAGGAAAAAAAAAGTATATCAAGTATATAACTCCAAGTAAAAAGCAACAATGATAAATACTATTACATACACAATCCTGCAATAACAGTAATAACAAACAATAATTTATGAGTGGATACATAGGTAGATATGTAAGCTGAACAGGTGGGATGGTGTATGGGAGTATACACAGGAGCATATGTAGGTTTGGTAAGGATATTTCTACATACACATTTTTATGTGCTGCAAATGTACCCATGTATGTAGTAGAGCACACGAGGGCACAGTTATGAAAACTTCCTAGCCATAACCAAATGCCGCAAGGGACGGAGTCACTGGGCTTGAGGGTTTAGGGCCATAGTCTTGGGGGACATCTAAGTCAATTGGCATAACATAGTCCGTAAAGACAGTGTTCTACATCCTAGTTTTGTGAGCAGCAACTAGGGTCTTAAAAGCTTGCAAGCAGCCATTTAAGACACAATTATTGGTCTTTTCCCATCTGCAGCAAAGAAGAGTGAAGAAAAGCAAAACCTCAAGGAAATAATTAGTCCAAAATACTAATGGAGCACAGGAACCACAGCCTCCACTAGCCTGAGACCAGAAGAACTAGATGGTGCCCGGATACCAATTATCAATTGCTCTGATTCAGATCACAGTAAAAGGTCC